GTACGGATGTGCATGTATATATATGTGCGTGCTTGTGTACATATATATATATATGCTTGTATGTGTGTGTGTGTGTGTATTGTATAAACACATGCCCGTTCATATATATAAATACATATATACATACATGTCTAGAGCGAAGTATATATATAGAGATTTCTTTTTAAATTCCTGTACCCTTCTATCAGTGTATATAGCTGTTTATCTACACACATATATACGGATATATGTGCATATATATACATACTTATAAGCACACACACACATATATATATGTATCTTCATATACAATAAATCATATGTATGTATATATACATATATATTTATATGCATTTACATACACATTCACCCGCACATATATACATGTGTGTATATAAGTGTGTGTGAATGTGTGTTTAAGTGCATGTGGCTTTGTGGGTGTGTGTGTACCAGCTCACGCATGTGTATGTGTGTGTGCGTGCTTGTGTGTGTGTATATGTGTGCTCGTATGTGTGTATATACATATATTCATATATGTATGTATATAAGTTCACACATATACACACATATATATGCATGTATGTATGTACATATGTACATACATACATATATGCTTATATGTATGTACTTATATATATGTACATAAATACATATATGCTTAGACATATATGTATTTATGTATGCATATATTTATATATACATGCATATAGATATAAAGGCTTACATGTATACATACATATGTATGTATACATACACATGTATGTATACATGACTGTTTATGTATATATTTGTCATAAGTATAAATATTTGTCAATATGTATTCATATTCAACTTTATACAAATATGTTTACATGGTTGTTGAGTTCATGCATATATACATATATATATGCATGCATGCATATATATGAATATACATAATGTATATACCTATATCCATATACATGTATGTGTCTACATACACTAATGGAAATGTTCTTAAAATACAAATATGTCTCTAAACGTGCATTCCTTTCCAGGTGTATCTAATGCGCAAAAGCAGCATGACATCAACTTCCTGCTGCACAAAATCTACGGAAACATCCGGGATCCTGAACTGAAAGCCAAAGCTGACTCCTTCGATCCAGAGGCTGATCTTTCACATTACAGTGACGGCGGTCAAGCTGTCAAGAATATCATGAAAGACATTAAGGACCACAGATTTCTCCAACAGAGGCATTGGTTCTCCCTCTTTAACACCAGGCATCGTCATGAAGCACTTATGCTCTTCGATGTTCTCATTCACTCCAAGGACTGGAATACATTTGTCAGCAACGCTGCCTACTTCCGCCAAATTGTCAATGAGGGAGAATTCGTGTATGCACTCTATGTTGCCGTCATCCACTCACCTCTGACTGAACACGTTGTACTTCCTCCACTCTATGAGGTCACACCTCATCTCTTCACCAACAGCGAAGTCATTGAAGCAGCTTATCGTGCTAAGCAAACACAGGTACCTGGTAAATTCAAGTCAACTTTCACGGGGACCAAGAAGAATCCTGAACAAAGGGTAGCCTACTTCGGAGAGGACATTGGAATGAACACTCACCACGTTACCTGGCATATGGAATTCCCTTTCTGGTGGCAAGACAAATACAGTCATCGATTGGATCGTAAAGGAGAAAACTTCTTCTGGGTTCATCATCAACTTACCGTCCGATTTGACGCCGAACGTCTTTCCAATTACTTGGACCCTGTGGGAGAACTTCACTGGGGAAAGCCCATTGTCCAAGGTTTTGCCCCTCACACTACTTACAAGTACGGAGGTCAGTTCCCCTCTCGTCCCGATAATGTTAACTTCGAGGATGTAGATGGCGTTGCCAGAATTAGAGACTTGCTCATCATTGAAAGCCGAATTCGAGATGCTATTGCCCATGGTTACATTGTTGACAGGGCCGGTAACCGCATTGACATTATGAATGAACGTGGTATTGACATCCTGGGAGACATTATTGAATCCTCTATGTACAGTCCCAATGTCCAATACTACGGAGCCTTGCATAACACTGCTCATATTGTCCTTGGTCGACAAGGTGATCCTCATGGAAAGTACGATTTACCCCCTGGCGTACTCGAGCACTTTGAAACAGCCACACGTGATCCTAGCTTCTTTAGGCTTCATAAATATATGGATAACATCTTCAAAGAGCACAAGGACTCACTTCCCCCTTACACTAAGGAAGAACTGACCTTCAACGGTGTAAGTGTTGATAGTATGTCTGTTGATGGTGAACTCGAGACCTACTTTGAAGATTTTGAATACAGTCTTCATAACGCAGTTGATGACACAGAAGAAATTGCAGATGTGGAAATCTCCACTTACGTGCCTAGACTTAACCACAAGGATTTTGCTTACAACATCGACGTTAGCAACAATCAAGGTGCGGAGGTACTAGCAACAATCCGCATTTTTGCTTGGCCTCATCGTGACAACAATGGTATTGAATACACATTTGATGAAGGTCGCTGGAATGCCATTGAACTCGATAAATTCTGGATGAAGTGTATGTATTGTTTTATTTTTTGTTTGCTTTTTCGCCAATCATTTTTCATAGTTATAATGAACTAATTGACATTTGCTGTGTCTATGATTCTTTAACAGACAATTTATACCTTTATAATCTTCTGTATTGGAATTCGTTTGTTTTCGCTTCAACAGTGGCACCAGGAGTCAACCACATTGTCCGCAAGTCTTCGGAATCTGCAGTCACAGTCCCTGACGTACCAAGCTTCCAGACCCTCTTCGACAAGACCAAAGAAGCCCTGACTGGCACAGACTCCGGGCTAACAGACTTTGAGAGTGCCACTGGCATTCCTAACCGATTCCTCATCCCCAAGGGTAATGAACAGGGTCTAGAATTCGACCTCGTTGTAGCCGTGACAGATGGTACAGCTGATGCAGCAATGGATGGACTTCATGAAAGTACCGATTTCATTCACTACGGTTCCCATGGCAAGTACCCTGACAAGCGCCCACATGGCTACCCTCTGGATCGCCGAGTTCCAGATGATCGTGTGTTTGATGAGCTTCCCAATTTCGGACACATTCAAGTTAAGGTCTTCAATCATGGTGAATATATCCATAACCATTAATCTCATGGAACCTAACTATGTCTGGTGTTATACTTTGGATCTGTAAAGAACACCAGATTTGTTCAACAAATTGCCTACAACCAAATAAAGAAAATACAATGGTATTCTTGAAATAAAAAAATTGTACTTAGTATACAATTTTCTGTGACAAAGCTAGACTATTTAAACGTTTCTCTCTCCTTTTCTATATATAACATGTACATACATAAATACATATATTTATGTATTTATATATATATACATAAACAATCCATAACAATACACAAATAATTGGTACGTATACATACATATATGTGTGTGTGTGAGACAGAGAGTGTATGTGTGTATGTATACATATTTATATTTCTATATATGCATATATATACATATATATACTATTTACACATACAAGTACTTACACATATATATATATATATATATATATATATATGCATACATACATACATATATATGTATATATACGCATATATATATACTTACGTATATACGCATATATATGTATACACAAACATACACACACAGAAACACACTCACACACACAAGCACATATATAGATATATATGTCTGTATATACATAGATATATATACATATATATACATACATATATACATATATATATATATTTATGTATATACGCATTACATATACCCATATATATATACAGTTTGTACATATGTGTATATACAGAGAGAGAGAGAGAGAATTATACACATTCACAAATTTATATATGTGTATATATTTAGATATACACACATTTAATGCGTTTATATATATACTCACATATATATACATATATACATATATATATGCACGCACACACACACACACACAGTAACCTCAGGCTTACTTTTCAATTCCTAATTATCTATATAAATATATACAAAGATATATATAATATATATGTATATATACTTCTACACACACACACAAATATATATATATATATATATATATATATATATATATATATATATATATACGTATATATGTATGTGTGTATGTATGTATATACGTATATTATATATATATAGTAGAGAAACCCACAATGCACAAACTAGATTTATTGAAAATGCGACAACTGTGCGTGTGTGTATGCATTTTATACGTGTATGTATATGTATAAACATATATATAATCTGTATATATATGTATAAATATGTATGTCCCACGTACAAACACACACATGTGTTTGTGTGTATTTGTGTGTGGTTATTGTACATGTACATATACATACATATATTTATTTATATTCATATAATGCTGCAACACTATAAAATGCAATAGCATCACTCACAAAGATACACAATGGTGCACTACTTACATGTACACAATAAGCTCTTCAAACAAATCACAGGAAACAGTGATGACGTAAACACACCACAATCCCATCACATTGGCAACTTTGTACATTCCACTTCATAATTCCCTCCCATTCACAAGCAGAATACAAAAAATATATACGTTTATTGTGTCGAATAGACAGCCGTATAGGTTACACACACACATATATATATATGAATATACATACATATAAATATATACATATATATGTGTATATGTGTATATATAGGTATATATATGTATGTCCAGTGGTTAGCGCACTGGACTCCGACCCTCGTGGTCCCGAATTCAACTCCCCGACGCGGCAATCGTAAAAATGCCTGCGCTCTGACTGCTGGCTCGAGCCCGAGAAAACGACATATCGCCTTGAGAAGTCAAACGCAGGTGTCGTAGGGGAAGTCGCCGCCGTGGCACAAGTGTTAGTGCGCCGAACCGCGGTTGATTAGGGAGGGCATCCAATCAGGCAAGGGTGACACTGCCATATAACCTCTCAATACTGAATTGAGAGAGGCCTATGTCCTGCAGTGGAATGAATGGCTGTTAAAAGAAAAAAAAAAAAAAAAATATATATATATATATATATATATATATATATATGTATGTATGCATGTTTACACACACACACACACACACACGCACACACACACAGACACACTCACTCACACACACACACACATATACATATATGGATATATATATATATATAAATATATACATATATTTGTGTATATATATATATGTATATATATATGTATTTATTCATGGTTATACACACACATACACATACACACGCACACACACATATATATGAATATGAACCATATTCATGTTGACAAATGTAGAAAAACTATGAATGAGAATGAATATCTTCATAATACAAGAAATGTATTTGACGGTTTTTATTATATCTTCGTCAGAAATACATACACCAGAAAAACAACAGAGTACATATATATATGTATATATATATATATATATATATATATATATATATATATATATCAGACATAAGCTAACGAAACACCTGATGAATGTGACTTCCCACTCATTGTCCGCGACCTTAGATAGTTTTGTTTCTGCCCGATGCTAGTATCATAGACATTACCTATCTACTCATACATAATGATAATGATAGCGAGGTTTTACACACACTCCCCCTGGGCACTCGGTGGAAATTGATTTAGAAATTCGAAACCGAAGATATACTGAGGTATATATATATATATATATATATGCATATATATATATATATATATATATATATATATATATATATATATGTATATATATGAAAGATGGAATAATCCAATGCCGCATTGATATAGATATATAACAATCTTCACTGAACTGGCCTCGAACCTAGGTCACTCTGGTATGAGACCGGAGGGCCAGTACTAAACCAACCATGCCACGCGACCCACTAAAAAGGAATGTGGAACTAGGATATAACTAGCTCCATAGACACTACCGATCTACTCATACATGAGTAATGATAGCAAGGTTTTATACACATTCCCCGTGGGCACTCGGTGGAAATTGATTTAGAAATTCGAAACCGAAGGCATATATATGAAAGATGGAATAACGCAATGTCGCATTGATATAGATACATAACAATCTTCCCTGGCCTGACCTCGAACCTAGGTCACTCCGGGTGTGAGACATGGATTCCATATAATTTAGAGGAAATTTGAGGCCCCTAATGCAAAGTATAACCAGACTTGGTTTGCTTCTGTGCACAAACTGTGGCCTTTTCAAATGGCTCAAAGATTTCTAGCACGTCTTTAAGTAGATTATGGTCATACACACTCATTGTTGGTACGCCATCTATGACGCTTATTTTTTCACGAATACTAAACACTAATCTAATAACTTTCACTTGGGAATTCCATCGTGTAGCACAAACAAAATCCAATCCTTTCTCATCTTCCAAAACACCAGCGGCAATGGAGTAATTGTGTAGACACTAATTTTGAGGCTTTATTGAGACCCATGTTTAGTTGCCTTATTTCTCGTAGACCATCCCTTACATCAAGTTGCAATGTGTGGGAGAAGCATGAATTGTTGGCAGAACTTCATCAACATCATTTTTCTCGACCATACTGTCAACATCCAGGTCTACTCAATTTGTCTTCATAATCAGAACAGGAGTCCATATCATTGTCAAAAATATATGAGAAGCCAGCATTGTCTATTATAATGTTGTGACTTTTGAACTTATGTCAAAGATTTGTACAGCTTCTTCATACTCTTTCAAAATGTTGTGTGCTGTGTGTCGGCCACGGAAACGCTTGCATGCCAGACCGGCTGTTTTCAAAGACCAGTTATGGATGAAATGAGCAGTAATTCCTAGGTGAGACCTCATCCACTTGCTAGGTCAAATGTCAAGCGTGAGGCTAACAGTCTGTGCACACTCAAGTTGGGCTTTCGTCGACCATATAACCATCTAAGTAGTTTGTTCACCAGGTGCTTTCGAGTCGGCATCTGGTTCGGAGGATCAGCAGACAGCATCAGATCATGGAAGTAAGAGCTCTCTACTACATTTACATTTTTCACTACTGCGCAGGAGCTGGCAGGCCACTTGTTGCAGCGGCGTGGTGGGCCTAACAGGAAACGATCGGAAAACAATAACTATTTTGATCAGCTGATCCTCGCTGAAAGTACATCTTCGTTTTTATTTTTCATTTCGTATTTTACGCAATGTTTTCCAGCTCAAAGTATTACACAGCATTGGCAGAAGATCAGAAATGGTATAAATCTAAGCTTACGCTCACAGATGGACATACGCTCCCTGATCCGTACATGTTCCAAGACGAATGGAAGAACGATGTTACTTTGATGCCTGATGAACATGAACCTCCCGACGGGGTGCAAGATAGTCTCTTATGCAGACGATCTTGCCATCACCGCCATTGGGACACAATGCCTAAGTAAAGCCAAGCGTTGTCTGGACCTTGTGTCTGAGGAGTGTTGCAGGACAGGACTTAAGATCTCAGCAGCCAAATCTAAGGCCATGGCTCTGGGAAAGCGAGTTCAAGGCACAAGTCTGAAAATCCAGGGAGTAGACTTGGAATGGGTCCCGGTGTTCCAATACCTTGGGGTATGGGTAGACCGGACCCTCTCCTTCCGGCAGGAGACCAAGTACCTGGTCGACCGATGCAAAGCAAGACTGAACGTCATGAGAGCAATGACTGGGAAACACATAGGAGCCAGACACAAAGTACTAAGAGCCTTCTATGTACATGCTGTCAGGCCCATTGTGAATTACGCCTCAGTCGCCCTAATTGGCAGAAAGAAAAAATACAGAGAAAAATTGGAAACTGTCCAAAATGAAGCTGCCAGAATCATTCTGAGTGCCCCGAGGTGGTCAAAGGTCCCCAACCTCCTGATGGAGGCCAACTTTTCCCCCTGGACTCACGAATCGATCAAATAGCAGCCAATTTCTTTGCAAAGGTCATCCAGGCTCCCAGGAACATGAGCCTAAGAGAAAAATTAGTCAGACGCCTGGAACAAGACAACGAGCTCTTTGCCAACAGCACGTGGTTGTCCCACACAGCCAGGGTGTTGATAAGCTTTGAGCTCAAAGAGCAGCTTCTCACCAAGGGCATGGACTCCCCCCACCCTGACTTTGTCGAAGCCTCGCCGTGGGCACAAAGTTCGATAGAGTTCTCGGTCATGAGATTACCGCTCAAAAAGACCGAATATCCCACGCCTGGTCTAAAGGCAGAGACCTACAGGGTCATATCAGCCATCACCCCCCCCCCCCCCCCCCGGGTAGTAGAACTTACTACACGGATGGATCGGTCGATCCAGC